TTCTTAAAAGTAAATTATCGGGTGATTCACTTGAGTAATCAAACAAAAATAAGAAATAAAAAGACAGTTGCAGCGAAGAAAATTTTCTTTTCGACGAAGTCATCATCTAGGCTGTACATTCGTGTATTTATATCAAATGGATGGGAAAGTTCCAGAATAATTTCCGGTCAAGGGTCAAATTAATAAAAATTACAATTAGTAATTAAAATGCCATAATAAACAGGGGGGAGGAGGATAAAACTCAAACAAAGTAGCATTATAAACATCATAAACAGGTAAATTTTTTAGTAATGACCATTCCATCGCCTTTCTTATCTAAACTTCCTGTTTATTTTGTCATTTTACTATTTCTACAAATTTAATCCCTGATTGCATAAACAATTATTCATCACATTAGTTTTTTATCCAAACATCCTGTCTATTTTGTTATTTCTACATTTCTAACCCCCACTTGTACAATGTCAATCTTATTAGTTATTATAATGCTACTTTGTTTGAGTTTTATCCTCCTCACATCCCTGTTTATTATGGCATTCTAATTCCTAATTGTAATTTTTATTAATTTGACCCTTAACCGGAAATTATTCTGGAACTTTCCCATCCATTTGATATAAATACACGAATGTACAGCCTAGATGATGACTTCGTCGAAAAAGAAATTTTCTTCGCTGCAACTGTCTTTTTATTCCCAATGAAAAATAAGAAAGACAGAAAGAACAAATGGACGAAACTGATTGCTGCATAATACGAACTCATTTCATCTCATGGAGTCTCTTCAACTGAACACATCCTAAACAATATAAAATTATAAGTTACAAAATTTCTGAATATACTTCCCTCGCACTAATGTCGAGATATATAGATAGGGAGCATAAGTAACATAATGATTTAAGTAGACGAATTGTTCACAGGGTTAAAAGACTAACTGCTTATAGTATAACTGAACAAAAGAGGTGGGGAGGGGGTACAGTTCAAATATCGCTTCCAAACAACTATTGACTACAGACAGAATACAAGAAAATCAAAACAAGTGATCCATTCAGCGAAGAGACTCTTTTCAACAACGAATTTATTATCAAGCTGTACAACCGTATATAAGAATATGGTTTTTAAAAAGAATTATATCCGATGAGGGAATTGAATTATAGGTGTGAATACATAAAATAATAATAGTAGTAGTATGAAATGCAATTAAAATGTTTGTGATTATAATCATAGTTAAATGTCAAGTGGCAAAACAATCAATGTCATATATAGAATAATTCATAAGATGTATAGATGTTGGAATGGGGTGTATAATTACAGGGTTAATAGGCAAATAGAATAAAAATAAAAACTTTAAAACGACTAGTTTCCTTTATGAACTTATAAAAAGCAATAAGAAGACGCAATTTGTCTGAATCGTGATGTCACATCCCACTGCACTTACCAATTTGAAAGTAAGTGTGGCCACACATACACACATAGGAAGGACTCATCGATCTATGCAAGTAAAGGCTGGCTTCAGAAGCAAATAGAATCCCCAGAACCCATTAACGGTGAGAACAGGAAACCTAGATCCTTCTTTGAGAAACATATTACAAAGGAGATACGTCTTTTAAACCTATCCATAAAACGTGTTTGGGATGGATCCTGAAGTTTGCGGAAGGCCTAGCTACTACCTTTAAGCGTTCAAAAACAATTCATCACCACAATAAACCTTGCTTGGTTAAACTTTGTTTTAATACTAGGGTAGATGTACTATTGCATCTCTTATTTGGTTTAGTGATCTTCATTGCTATTTTGACCTTTAATATGTCCTTTTAACTTGAACTAAGTCTATTTTCTCACCTCTTAGCTCTTTATTTATTAATTTCATATATATTCCTATGACAAGTCCCTGTGTGATCGATCAGATTGTTCGAAATGTGTTGCGCAAATAGATTACACGATTCAGACAAATTACATTTTCTTATTGCTTTGTCTAAAAATAAAACGTTACGTAACATCGCGTGATATTTCATAACATAGAATTTAACGTTGAAAAACAAAACTGACTCAAAATGACATCTAGAATAAGTGAAATAATACCGGGGAACAATTCAAAGTGAGAATACTAACAGCAACAATTGACGTAATAAAGGAAGAGTATACAAATTGAATAAACAAAACGAAAAATAAGTGGAGCCAAAATATGATTAGGGATTACCATACTTTAGCATAGAGGGATTAAGACCATGAAAGCTGGAGGGGTTGAACGAACTTTTTCTGTACACACAGAGACCTGGCTTTCGATTTCCAACGCCTCAACAATACAGATGAGTCGGATAGGTAATGTGATTTGGGTAAATTATATGTCGCCTTGTAGATGACTTTAAAGGCTGAGGCTGCAGAGGTAGGGTGATTAGTATCAACCAGATGTACAATGATTGCCCTTCTTTTTAAAGCTCCAGTTTCACCTCTTCGTAAGCATGTTGGATAGTGTTCTTTCACCCTATTGGACAAAATCCGAGTCCATACGAACAGGTGAATTGATAAACGCACACAGAGTTCATCAACTGCTGTATCTTATCCTTCAGGTTATTGAACAGTAATGGTCAACCAGAAAACGCTATTCTCAACGATGCAGCAGGGAATATCCTTTCCAGAGACTATGAGATCCTTTTTTTAATGATGACATTGAAAGCAAAGTCACCTTTGCAACGTTAAATTCCATGCTATCGAATTTCACACAGTGTTACGCGTAACGTTTTCATTTCTATTCTATTTGCCTATTAACCCGATAATTATACACCCCATTCCAACATCTATACACCTTATGAATTATTCTATATATGACATTAATTGTTTTGCCACTTTACATGGAACTATGATTATAATCACAAATATTTTAGTTTTAATTGCATTTCATACTACTACTACTATTATTATTTTATGCATTCACGCCTGTGATTCAATTCCCTCACCGGATATAACTTCTGAAAAACCATGTATATACGATTGTACAGCTTGATAATAAATTCGCTGAAAAGAGTCTCTTCGTTAAATCACTTATTTTGATTTTCTATAGGTTACAATGGGAATTTTCCATGAACAAAATGCAAGATCGAACAGCAGAGTGAATTCATACATATTAGGATAGAGAGTTCAAGAGGACGGAAATGACTATTATCATTATTGTTTCCTTTAATTCCTAGAGGAACATAAGGCTTCAGCCATGCGTCTCCATTGCGTTCGGTTCTCTGCTAGAGTCTTCACCTGGCTCCAAGTCTGCCCACATGCTTTCATTTCCTCTTCACATGACCTCCTCCAAGTCACCCTTGCACTGATGACCAACTCGCCACTTCCCTTTCGGATTCCACTCGAGCGATGGCTTGTCTAGTGATGTCACTTGATGGTTTCCTCAGAGTATGGCCAATCCATCTCCATTTCCTTCTGCATATTTGTTTCACAATCGGTTCCTGCTGGGTTGGTTCGTTAATTGCAAGAGATCCCTGTTGCTGATCTTTTCTGGCCATCTGATCTTGAGTGGTATTGAGCGAAGACAACTATTGATGAAGGTCTGTAGCTTGTTTGAGATGCTCTTTATGACGGAATTGACTAGTAAAGTAAAATTTAGTAAAATTAGGAACTTAATCGTAGGGATATCCTTAAAAGTTTCCGTATCAAAAGACAGCAAAAGTGCTCTCAAGTGCAACTGCCAGACACCTAAATTATAAGGGATATACAGTGGGAATTAGTTACACCTTCAAAATAATCAATACACAAAGAAAATCTCAGTTACATTAATTGTCAAAAGCCATTGATATCAAAAAGCATCAACCCAGCCACTGTATGCAGAAAGATAGCCTGATTAATCTCTCACTACACTGGTAACTGTAATTGTTTTGTTCGTGTGCCTTTGCGGTTTTTTCTGTTGCATAACACTCCATTTAATTTTGATTTTGATTTCCACTTACTGAACTGAACTCACTGTTAAGTTTCCAAATCTACTAAATTGTTTTGTATGTATTGTAATTTTACTTTAAGTATTCACTCCTACCCTCCTGAACTCTCTATCATAATACGTATGAATTCACTCTGTTGTTCGATCCTGTATATTGTCTATAGTCAGCCCTTATTTCGAAGAGAAATCTGAACTGTACGCCCCTGCCGCCTCTCGTCTTATTACACCCATAAAGAGACTTTTAAAACTAAATAATTCGTCCACTTACATCATCTTTGCAATTATGTTACTTATACTTTCTATCTATAACTCGACATCAGTATGAGGGACCCAACTATAGTCAGGGTTCGAACCCAGGACCTTCCAGTTACAAGACAAGCTCGTATACCATTCAGCCACTGGGACCCGATTCAATAGCCAGCTCATGAATTCTAACTTCTACCAATTCGTGATTTAGCGCGACTAGCACCAACCAATGTCGTCGGTGGGACATCCATCCTCACACTTGACTGGATGGACCTCACTGGTCACGACTTCTCACTAGAACTCCAGGAAACTCCGTCCTGTAGAAAGTCACTAGCGAGCATCAGATTAATTTTCTATAGTTGGTTTGTAAGAATTAGTAACCGGAAGGTTCTTGGTTCGAATCCTGGCTTTGGGTGGGTGCGTACTGCCGATGATTCCCAAACTAGGCGGATGAAACAGTTGTCCAGTACTCCAGTGTCGGTTTTCAATGGTTCTCTAACTGATATCAATTCGTGATCAACTCGTAAAAACAAAACTAATCCTTACAAACCAACTACAGAAAATTATAATTTGATATTGTTTAGGATGTATGCAGATGAAGAGAATCCACGGGACGAAATCAGCAAATATGTTCCTTCTTTGTTTATTCAAACTAATTAAGAAAACCGGTTGTATAAAATAATATAATAATAATAACAATAGTGAGTACTACTTCCTATCTCCATAAAACTTTGAAGTAGATGTACTTTTGAATCAATGAAATAGGCATGAATAAATAATCATTAAAGGATCAATAACAAAAAAATCGATTAAACGGTGAACAACTCACCTGCTGACACTTTAATGATAATTGTTTCCCAGTGAATGTTTCATGCTGATTTAATAAATGACCACAAAAACATCGTGATGTAGAACAAACACGTTGACAATCTTGTTGATCCCATGGTTTATCCCTTGGTCTATAGGCAATATATGTACCTATATTTATCCCCCCCCCCAAAAAAAAAATATATATATACATATATGAATAGAAAATCATACACATATACTAAAAGGCAAAGAATAGTATTCATGTGAGAAAACTCATGAGACGAGAAATGAAGGCAGATACCATGCATGTAGATCAAAATACCTGATCCAAAGAAAACCCAGCAAAAAAGGTGGCAAATTATCAACCTGTAAGGCAGTAAACAGAAGGATGTCTACTAAGTAGATCTACGTTATTAGTTATGACTTCGCTATGAAGATATTAAACAATAAATGTTTACAGATATGAATAACACTCAACACTGTAGATTTTCTGTTGTCTAGCAGCAATATACTACTGATGGATTGAAATGAGTAGTTGGTTACCACACTCATGCCAACCAGTGATAGTACTTGCTAACCCGATCGAAGTGACCCAGGAACACCGGAAGGCCGATTTTCGCTCAATTCAGGCCGAGTTCATCTGCACTGTGCCCTGTTCAACTCAGCTGAGACAGTTGAATCAGTTCAAACTGATCAATCAATCACCAGCATGCAGCATCATGCATCTTATCCTTGCCTTCTTGATTTTCATTTATGGTATCAAGGAGATCAGATGTAATATGATCTGAATCATTTCGACTTACAAAAGAAATTGCGCCAAAAATGTCACCTCCTCG